CAGTCTGGGTGACAGAGTGAGACTCCAACTCAAAAATAAAAATAAAAATAAATAAATAAAAATAAATACAGTGTATTATAGGTAAGGGCCGGAGCAGCACGTGGCTCAGACCTCTAGCCAGAATGCACCTTCACCCTCTCCTCTTCCCGAGTCCCCTTTTTTCTGTTTCCTGTTGAAATCCGAGTTCCAGGCTACAGGGCAAACACTGTGGGGAACAAAGGGCACTAAAAGGCAGGTGTCCTGAGGACAGAGGTGGGGCTCTGAGGATGGTGGACTCAGTCCCTTTGGCTGCTTGCATGAATCTAGGCTCTGCTCTGTGGCCTCCAAGTGGTCCTGGCCCCGTGGAAGGGTCACCGGCTGATGTGATTAAAAAACCAACATCCTGGGATGTTGGTGGCATCTCTGGTCACCCCCAGGGGTGACCTGTCTTTGCATCACCGTGAAGTCTGTTGCTGATTTCTGCTTTCTCTGTGTGTGCACCTGGGCTGGCCCGTCTGAGCCTTAGACTGCTTGTTTGCGAAGCAGGAGTGGTGATACCAGCCCTGAGGGTGTCGGGAGGCCTGGAGATAAAGCACTCGCTCAGGGCCTGCTTGTCTTAGGCCCTGTGAGGCCATCCTTGCAAGCCTGGGCCAGCTCTGGGGAGCGAAGCCTTCCATCCAGACTCTCAGCCTTCTCCCTGCATGCTAAGCAGATCTGTCCTGGGGCCACGTGGTCAGGGACGGGTCTGTGTGCTGTAGTTGGAGATATGGAGCTGGGAGAGATGAGGCCTCAGCAGAAGTGTGTCACCAAGACAGGCGTTGGGCAGGATGGGTCTAGAGGCTGCCGTGTGTGTGGAGGGAGTCAAGATTCGTGTTGCAGGCCTCCTCCAGGCAGGGGGAAGGGCAGGATGCTGACCAATACCCCATCCTCCCGACACCCATGGTTGGAGCTGTCTACAGCCAAATGGTTGACCGGGTGTGGTGGCTCACGCCTGTAATCCCCACTCTTTGGGAGGCCGATGTGAGAAAATTGCTTGAGGCCAGGAGTTTGAGACCAGCCTAGGCAACATAGCGAGACCTCATCTCTACAAAGAAAAACTTAAAAATTAGCTGTGTGTGGTAGTGCACACCTGTAGTCCCAGCTATGTAGGAGGCTGAGGTGGAAGGGTTGCCTGAGCCCAGAGGTGGAGGCTGTGATGAGCTGTAATCATGCCACTGCGATCCAGCCTGGGCGACAGAGTGAGACCCCGACTCAAAAAATAAAAATAAAATAAAAACTCTGGCCAGGCTCGGTGGCTCAGCCTGTTATCTCAGTGCTTTGGGAGGTCGAGGTGAGAGGATTGCCTGAGCCTGTGGGTTCGAGACCCACCTGGGCAATTTGACGAGACGAGACTTCATTTCTACAATAAATCAAAAATTAGTCAGGCATGGTAGCGTGTGCCTGTAGTCCCAGCTACTTGGAAGGCTAAGGAGGAAGGATCGCTGGAGCCCAGCAGGTCGAGGCTGCGGTGGCCAGGAGCGTGCCACTGCATTCCAGTCTGGGTG